CCCCCCAGGTTCGCGCCTTCGGGCCGGGGCTCTCGGGGGGCCTGGCGGGGACACCCACCCCCTTCACCATCGACACCAAGGAGCCCCGTATGGGTGTCCCCTATGGGGGTGTCCCCCGTGGGGGTGTCCCCTATGGAGGTGTCCCCCGTAGGGCTGTCCCTGCTGTGCAGGGGTCCCGTGCAGGATTGGGGGGCCCCGCACATCACCCCCTGTCCCCCCCCAGGTTCGCGCCTTCGGGCCGGGGCTCTCGGGGGGCCTGGCAGGGGTGCCCGCGCCCTTCACCATCGACACGACGGGCGCGGGCAGCGGCGGCCTGGGGCTCACGGTGGAGGGCCCGTGCGAGGCGCAGCTGGAGTGCGCCGACAACGGCGACGGCACCTGCTCCGTGTCCTACGTGCCCGCGGAGCCGGGCGACTACAACATCAACATCCTGTTCGCGGGCGCCCACGTGCCCGGCTCGCCCTTCCGCGCCGTCGTGCGCCCGCCGGTCGACGCCTCCAAGGTGACGTGTTCGGGGCCCGGCCTGGAGGGCGCCACGGCCGGCCAGCCCGGCCACTTCCGCGTGGACTGCAGCCGCGCGGGCAGCGCCGAGCTCACCATCGGCATCGCCTCGGAGGCGGGCGCGCGCGCCGAGGTGCGCGTGGAGGACAACGGCGACGGCACCTACACCATCGCCTACACGCCGCTCAGCCCCGGCGTCTACACCATCACCGTGGAGTACGGCGGGCAGCCCGTGCCCCACTTCCCCAGCAAGGTCCGCGTGGAGCCGCCGTGCGACACCGCCGCCGTCAAGGCCTACGGGCCCGGCCTGGAGGGCAAGGGTGCGCGGGGGACAACCGCGGCACCGGGGGGACCGCCGCGCGCTCGGCGCTCACTCCAGCCCCCTTCCCACCTACAGGCGTCTTCAGGGAGGCGGTGACGGAGTTCGAGGTGGACGCGCGGGCGCTGAACCAGAGCGGCGGCCCCCACGTGAAGACGCGGGTGTGCAACCCCTCGGGGAACGTCACCGAGAGCTTCGTGGAGGACCGCGGCGACGGTACCTACCACGTGGAGTACACGCCGTACGAGGAAGGTGGGAAGGCGCCGCCGCGGCGGCCGCGCGTGGCACGGGGTGCTCGCGGCTGTGGTGACACCCCGCCGGCTGTGTGCGCGCGCTGTCGCCCGCAGGGGTGCACACGGTGGAGGTGACGTACGGCGGCAGCCCCGTGCCCCACAGCCCCTTCCGCGTGCCCGTCACCGAGGGCTGCGACCCCACGCGCGTCCGCGTGCACGGCCCCGGCATCCAGAGCGGCACCACCAACCAGCCCAACAAGTTCACGGTGGAGACGCGGTGAGGACCCGCGGCACCCCGCAACACCACCCCCGCAACACCCTGCGACACCCCGCAACACCCCCAAAACCCCCCCGGCCAACCCGGCTGCTCTTCCTGCCCTCCCTCCACTCCCCTCCGCCTCCAGTTTCCTTCCCTTGTGGCCTCGAAATCCTCCCAAACGGTCTGAAATGTCCCCAAATAGGCCTGAAATCTCCCCAAATTGGCCTGAAACGCCCTAAATTGGCCTTGAAACCCCCCCCCTTCCCCACCAGGAGCCCCGAATGCTCCTTCACAGCTTCCTGTTTCGGGGTTTCGGGGGGTCTGGGGTCCCCATCACAACCCCGTCTCCCCCCCTGTTTCGGCGGGTCTGGGGTCCCCATCGCGACCCCGTCCCCCCCCTGTTTCGGCGGGTCTGGGGTCCCCATCGCGACCCCGTCTCCCCCCCATTTCAGGGGGTCTGGGGTCCCCATCACAACCCCGTCTCCCCCCCCCGTTTCGGGGGGTCTGGGGTCCCCATCACAACCCTGTCTCCCCCCTGTTTCGGGGGGTCCCCATCGCGCCCCCCCTGTCCCCCCCTGTTTCGGGGGGTCCCCATCGCGCCCCCCTGTCCCCCCGCAGCGGCGCGGGCACCGGCGGCCTGGGCCTGGCCGTGGAGGGGCCCTCGGAGGCCAAGATGTCCTGCACGGACAACAAGGACGGCAGCTGCTCCGTGCAGTACGTGCCCTACGAGCCGGGCACCTACAGCCTCAACGTCACCTACGGCGGCCACCAGGTCCCCGGTGAGCGCCCGGGCGGCACCCGCGGGTGACGGCGTGACACCCGCGACGGGTGGCAGCCGCGGGCGCCCGTTGCTCACGCGCGCCGTCCCGCGCAGGGAGCCCCTTCAAGGTGCCGGTGACGGCGGTGGTGGACGCGGGCAAGGTGACGTGCGCGGGGCCGGGGCTGACGCCGGGCGCCGTCCGCGCCAACGTGCCCCAGAGCTTCACCGTGGACACCAGCAAGGCCGGCGTCGCCCCGCTCGACGTCAAGGTGCAGGGGCCCAAAGGTGGGCGCCGGGACGGACCCCTGGGGTGCAGGAGGGGCCCCCGGGGACAGCGGCGGCCGCTGGGCGGCAGGTGGCCGCGTCTCGGGGTGTCCCTTGGGTGCTGGGGGATCTCAGGGTGTCCCTTGGGTGCTGAGGGGTTTTGCGGTGCCTCTTGGGTGCTGGAGGGTCTTGGGGTGCCCCCTAGATGATGGGGGGTCTCAGGGTGCCCCTTGGGTGCTGGGAGGGGTTGGGGTGCCCCCCCAGGTTCTGGGGTGTCTCACGGTCCCCCTTGGGTGCAGGGGGTGTCACATGGCGCTCTTTACATGTTGAGGGTCTCAGGGTGCCCCTTGGGTGCTGGGGGTGTCACATGGCGCCCCCCGGGTGCGGGGGTGTCACGCGGTGCCCCCGACCCCCCAGGTGTGGTGGAGCCGGTGGACGTGGCCGACAACGGGGACGGGACGCAGCGCGTCAGCTATGTCCCGTCGCGCGAGGGCCCCTACAGCATCTCCGTGCGCTACGGCGACGAGGAGGTGCCGCGCAGGTGGGCGCACCGCCGCCGCGCGGGTGTGCGGGGGGCGTCCGCCTGACGGCCCCGACCCCCAGCCCTGCACACCCCTCCGCGCCGCGCGGGTGTGCGGGGGGCATCCGCCTGACGGCCCCGACCCGCAGCCCCTTCAAGGTGAAGGCGCTGCCCACGCACGACGCCAGCAAGGTGAAGGCGAGCGGCCCCGGGCTCAACACGACCGGCGTCCCCGCCAGCCTCCCCGTGGAGTTCACCATCGACGCCAAGGACGCCGGCGAGGGGCTGCTGGCCGTGCAGATCACGGTGCGCGGACGGGGCACAGGGATGGGGACGGGGAGAGGAGGATGAGGACGGGGACGGGGAGAGGAGGACAGGGACAGGAAGACAGGGATGGGGACGGGGAGAGGAGGATGAGGATGGGGACAGGGAGAGGAGGACAGGGATGGGACAGGGACAGGAAGACAGGGATGGCGACAGAAAGAGGAGGATGAGGACGGGGAGAGGAGGATGAGGACGGGACAGGGACAGGAAGACAGGGATGGCGACAGAAAGAGGAGGATGAGGATGAGGACGGGGAGAGGACAGGGATGGGACAGGGACAGGAAGACAGGGATGGCGACAGAAAGAGGAGGATGAGGACGGGGAGAGGAGGACAGGGATGGGACAGGGACAGGACAGAGACAGGAGGATGCGGATGGGACAGCGCGAAGGGGATGAGGACAGGGAGAGGAGGATGAGGATGGCGACAGGGAGAGGAGGATGGGATAGCGCTGGGACAGGAAGACAGGGATGAGATAGGGAGAGCTGGAAGGGGATGGGGACATGGAGGGAAGGATGGGGAGAGGAAGAAGGGGACAGGGACAGGAGGACGGGGATGAGACAGGGAGAGGGGGAAGGGAGCCGGGAAGGAGACACGGAGGACGGGAAGGGATGGTGACACAGGTAGGGCGGTAGGGAACAGGCGGAAGGGATTGTGGCCAAGGACAGGAAGGAGTTGGGGACAGGGGGACAGGGGACAGGTTGGCAGGAGGGCGCGGGCGTCACCGCGGCGGCCGCCTGTCCGCCAGGACCCCGAGGGCAAGCCCAAGAAGGCGACGATCCGCGACAACGAGGACGGCACCTACACGGTGTCCTACGTGCCCGACACCACGGGCCGCTACACCATCCTCATCAAGTACGGCGGCGACGAGATCCCCTACTCGCCCTACCGCATCCGCGCCGTGCCCGCCGGCGACGCCAGCAAGTGCACGGTGACGGGTGAGCGCCGCCGCCGCCGGCCCCGCACAGCCGCGCGCCGCCTGACACCGGCACCGCACACCCGCTTGCGGCCGGCGCCACGGTGCCCTC